CTTACATCGGCCCGGACACACCCGCTCTACGAACGCTGAGCGAATACGCCCGGCCTCACGTCATGTCGCCGACGAACCGCAACCATCCTTTCTTTGTCCCCCTGAACCCCACCGACCCTCTCCTGGCCTACCACATGCCCGGCCTCTACAACGTGGATCCCACCATTCGGGAACGAGAGCTGCGAGAACGGGAAATCCGGGAGCGAGAAATCCGGGAAAGGGAGTTGAGAGAGAGGATGAAACCTGGCTTTGAGGTGAAGCCCCCGGAGCTGGACGCTCTTCACCCGGCTACCAACCCCATGGAGCATTTTGCCAGGCACGGTGCACTGACTATTCCCCCAACGGCAGGACCTCACCCGTTTGCTTCCTTCCATCCGGGTTTGAACCCTCTGGAAAGAGAGAGACTTGCACTGGCAGGCCCCCAGTTACGGCCTGAAATGAGCTACCCCGACAGACTGGCAGCAGAGAGAATACACGCCGAGCGGATGGCTTCGCTGACTAACGACCCCTTGGCACGGCTCCAGATGTTCAACGTCACGCCTCACCATCACCAACACTCACACATACACTCGCATCTACACCTCCATCAACAGGATCCCTTACATCAAGGTGAGCCCAGGGAAAGGGGATGGGCAGTTTCCTGGGGAGCCTCTCTCCTGAGCTGTTTAGCAGCAGTTTGCCCCAAAACAGGCAGACTGGGGCTCCAATTCAAGTAGCAAAATCCCTGTTTTCTTGTACGTGATACAACTTTTGTAACTGAAACACAAGCAGTTATTTTTTGGGAAGGTGGACCAATAACAGTGCTAAAGTAAATGATGGTAACTGTACAGTGATCTCCATTGAGACTCTGACTCCACACTGTCACTGTGAAAGGTTTGCTGTTTTGTTTTTTTAAAGCTCTGGAGTCCTAGAGCAGCACCTTACAGTGGTGTCTGGTGTACACTCCAGTGGGTGAAGGGAATTCACTAGGAGAGAGGTGATGGAGCTGGTAACACCACTAATGCTCACGGCTGTTAGGAGTGAGGGAGCTGAAGCTGGTGTTTCAATATAGGAGCTGGGGAAAAAAAAATTAGGAGAGAAAAACTTCATCTCCTTAGCCATTTGACATGCCCACCATCTGGCTTTAGTCGAGCTGAAATTCTCTGTCACTATTCTCATGATGAGCCATCTGAATTTATGGGTTGACATCTTTTTAGCTATGGTGTGTTCTTATGCGTGGAGTTTTTTTCCCTCGAGTATTTAATAGTCTGAAAAATGAATTGGTGCCTTGCTCATTTCTAAAGCCAGCTACGTGGTTACTCCTCTAGAAGTCTGGAACCTGGAGTCTGGAAGATGAGACACTAAGCAGAATTTTCTAATTTTCTGGTGGCAGACTGGGGAGAACATAGCAAGCAAGGCACCAGGTGCAGTAGCTGTTAAGTATGAAAAAAAAAAAAGTTCAAGTACTTGAAGTGCAGCTTCTGGTGCATCTGGCTACAAATGTAGTGTTTGTGCAGGCAAATATAGCATACTTAGCCTTGGAGCAATGTGCATTAAATGGAGCTGGGATGGCTGCTTTTTGGAGCTTGGGAGGAATTTGAGTGCTGTTGCAGAAGCCAAATTGTATAGTGAGGAAATCAGCAGGGTCTTGTGAGATTGTTAAGGGGCAAGGGGTTACAGGTAAGAGATGGTTGTGCTGAACATCAGCATCCTTCAAGCTGTCAGCGTTGGTTGAGACTGACTGCACAGATTACAGAGTGGTGCAATTGGAGTGGGTTTGCATACCCCACTGATAGCAGAAGAAATTTGTCATAGATCGTGTCTATACAGGGATTCTGTTGCCAGGTAAGTCACTTACCACTCTGGGCAGGTGAGTTTAGATACTCCCCAGTTATTTATTCCAGACAAAAAGATGGCTAGTACATCCTCACTCTGTCGAGCAAGAGACTGGCACAGACAAAGCCAAGTCAATTCATTTTCAAGTAAGTCTCTCTTACCTCTGTTCGAAAGTAATTTGGCCTTAATTTTGGATGGCAGGTTAAAATAGCGTTAGGGGCCTGAGCGTCATCTTTTGGCCTCTCAAGTAGTATTGGTTAAGTCAGAAGGATGCCCAAGTGCTTCTGTACTAAATGTCACTAGTGATCCTTCAATTTTATGTGTGTGAAGGGGAAATCGGAGAGAGTTTTGGAGAAAATCTGTCTAAATGTTGATCATCTTTGTTGTTTCTCCTTATTGCCTGGTGTATTTCTTGTAGAAATTGAAAGCCCTGGGTTGTTGCTTTAACAATTAAGACTGTTTGGTAAGCAGATATCACTTGAAGATAGAAAAGTGGGTTTCAAATTGGATGGAGCTAAAGCTCCTGGTAATTACATGCCAGTTAGGCCAAATGCTGATCCAGCTCGAGTCCAACAGGGCTTTTGATCTCCCAACAGTTGAGCGATGCTTCCCAAAGCAGTTGATTGCTTGCTTTCTTTCCTTCTTTTAAAGGTTCTGCAGGACCTGTTCATCCGCTGGTGGATCCTTTAGCAGCTGGACCCCATTTGGCACGTTTTCCCTACCCGCCTGGGACCATCCCCAACCCATTGCTAGGGCAGCCACCTCATGAGCATGAAATGCTCCGACATCCAGTCTTTGGTGAGAGCATTTTGTGGTCCTCTACGAAGATTGTCTCTTGACCTGGACTGTTGCCTTCAGGGTTGTAGCATTTCCTGGGAGGGGAGTTGGAGAAGTTGAGCTGTAACTTGGGTTGGTTGATTTTTTTATAAAAAAAAAAACCGCAAACACAATAAACTTCCTGGGACAACTCTCTGCAGAGCTCATAGCAAACAAGTGTCTAAAAATGAGCAATTCTCTCCTAGGTACTCCTTATCCACGAGATCTGCCTGGTGCCATTCCACCTCCTATGTCAGCAGCCCACCAACTGCAGGCCATGCACGCCCAGTCAGCAGAGCTGCAGAGACTGGCCATGGAGCAGCAGTGGTTGCACGGGCATCCTCACATGCACGGTGGTCATCTACCAAGTCAGGAAGATTATTACAGGTGAGAGGTGCAATGAAGGCTTTTGGAGACTCAGGGGTGCCACAGCTTCCTTCGTCTTTCACCACATTATGTCCCTTTTTTCTTTGGAATTACTGCCTTTCTTACTGTGTGCTGAGTTACTGTCCTGATGCAGTAATTGAAGATGTACCAAGACATTTGGGCATAGGTGATAGGGCAGATGGGAAGCAAGGTCCCAATTACTGGCACAGGATGTAGACCAGTTGAGTCTTACAGTGCCAAATTACCTCTGATTGGGATTTTCAGCGTGATACTACGATTGCTTCTTCCACATCTCTCTCTTCCTTGAGAACAGCAGAGGAGGGTGGGTAAAAGCTTTATGAATGAGAAGAGGGGAGGAACTCAATAAATCTTAAGAAATGACTAAAGGCAGTAGGAAGTTGAAATGTATGAATAATACAGATCCTGCATCTCCAGCTGAGAATTCCTAGGCGAATCATGGGAGTTTTTTCTCCCCTGAATGCTCTGTGGGGTTGATAGCAGAGTGGTTTTCTTCTTGGCCCACCTTATTTTCTGTCTGGCAGTGACCACTGACAGCTAAGAAGAAAAGGCCACCAGCACCAGGCAAGGGTCATTCCTCATGTCTGTGGGTAGCAGGGATATGTAAGAAGCAGCGTATTAAAACACCTGCTTTGTGCTGCTCTCCTCTGATGTGTCAGTCCTCCCTTCTGCCATCCAGAAGTGCCTGCTGGCCTTGTGCCACGGGGGCAGCCGCTCTGCCCGACGCTGACTGTCATATCTGCAACCACAGACAGAGCTAAAGCTCGAGGAGCTGGCACTAGTGATCTCTCTCCCATGTAAGGATCGTGTCTATACAGGGATTCTGTTGCCAGGTAAGTCACTTACCACTCTGGGCAGGTGAGTCTAGATACTCCCCAGTTATTTATTCCAGACAAAAAGATGGCTAGTACATCCTCACTCTGTCGAGCAAGAGACTGGCACAGACAAAGCCAAGTCAATTCATTTTCAACTAAGTCTCTCTTACTTTTGCTTGAAAGTAATTTGGCCTTAATTTTGGATGGCAGGTTAAAATAGCGTTAGGGGCCTGAGCGTCATCTTTTGGCCTCTCAAGTAGTATTGGTTAAGTCAGAAGGATGCCCAAGTGCTTCTGTACTAAATGTCACTAGTGATCCTTCAATTTTATGTGTGTGAAGGGGAAATCGGAGAGAGTTTTGGAGAAAATCTGTCTAAATGTTGATCATCTTTGTCCTTCAATTTTATGTGTGTGAAGGGGAAATTGGGGAGAGTTTTGGAGAAAACCTGTCTAAATGTTGCTGTTGCAGAAGCCAAATTGTATAGTGAGGAAATCAGCAGGGTCTTGTGAGATTGTTAAGGGGCAAGGGGTTACAGGTAAGAGATGGTTGTGCTGAACATCAGCATCCTTCAAGCTGTCAGCGTTGGTTGAGACTGACTGCACAGATTACAGAGTGGTGCAATTGGAGTGGGTTTGCATACCCCACTGATAGCAGAAGAAATTTGTCATAGATCGTGTCTATACAGGGATTCTGTTGCCAGGTAAGTCACTTACCACTCTGGGCAGGTGAGTCTAGATACTCCCCAGTTATTTATTCCAGACAAAAAGATGGCTAGTACATCCTCACTCTGTCGAGCAAGAGACTGGCACAGACAAAGCCAAGTCAATTCATTTTCAACTAAGTCTCTCTTACTTTTGCTTGAAAGTAATTTGGCCTTAATTTTGGATGGCAGGTTAAAATAGCGTTAGGGGCCTGAGCGTCATCTTTTGGCCTCTCAAGTAGTATTGGTTAAGTCAGAAGGATGCCCAAGTGCTTCTGTACTAAATGTCACTAGTGATCCTTCAATTTTATGTGTGTGAAGGGGAAATCGGAGAGAGTTTTGGAGAAAATCTGTCTAAATGTTGATCATCTTTGTTGTTTCTCCTTATTGCCTGGTGTATTTCTTGTAGAAATTGAAAGCCCTGGGTTGTTGCTTTAACAATTAAGACTGTTTGGTAAGCAGATATCACCTGAAGATAGAAAAGTGGGTTTCAAATTGGATGGAGCTAAAGCTCCTGGTAATTACATGCCAGTTAGGCCAAATGCTGATCCAGCTCGAGTCCAACAGGGCTTTTGATCTCCCAACAGTTGAGCGATGCTTCCCAAAGCAGTTGATTGCTTGCTTTCTTTCCTTCTTTTAAAGGTTCTGCAGGACCTGTTCATCCGCTGGTGGATCCTTTAGCAGCTGGACCCCATTTGGCACGTTTTCCCTACCCGCCTGGGACCATCCCCAACCCATTGCTAGGGCAGCCACCTCATGAGCATGAAATGCTCCGACATCCAGTCTTTGGTGAGAGCATTTTGTGGTCCTCTACGAAGATTGTCTCTTGACCTGGACTGTTGCCTTCAGGGTTGTAGCATTTCCTGGGAGGGCAGTTGGAGAAGTTGAGCTGTAACTTGGGTTGGTTGATTTTTTTATAAAAAAAAAAAACACAAACACAATAAACTTCCTGGGACAACTCTCTGCAGAGCTCATAGCAAACAAGTGTCTAAAAATGAGCAATTCTCTCCTAGGTACTCCTTATCCACGAGATCTGCCTGGTGCCATTCCACCTCCTATGTCAGCAGCCCACCAACTGCAGGCCATGCACGCCCAGTCAGCAGAGCTGCAGAGACTGGCCATGGAGCAGCAGTGGTTGCACGGGCATCCTCACATGCACGGTGGTCATCTACCAAGTCAGGAAGATTATTACAGGTGAGAGGTGCAATGAAGGCTTTTGGAGACTCAGGGGTGCCACAGCTTCCTTCGTCTTTCACCACATTATGTCCCTTTTTTCTTTGGAATTACTGCCTTTCTTACTGTGTGCTGAGTTACTGTCCTGATGCAGTAATTGAAGATGTACCAAGACATTTGGGCATAGGTGATAGGGCAGATGGGAAGCGAGGTCCCAATTACTGGCACAGGATGTAGACCAGTTGAGTCTTACAGTGCCAAATTACCTCTGATTGGGATTTTCAGCGTGATACTACGATTGCTTCTTCCACATCTCTCTCTTCCTTGAGAACAGCAGAGGAGGGTGGGTAAAAGCTTTATGAATGAGAAGAGGGGAGGAACTCAATAAATCTTAAGAAATGACTAAAGGCAGTAGGAAGTTGAAATGTATGAATAATACAGATCCTGCATCTCCAGCTGAGAATTCCTAGACGAATCATGGGAGTTTTTTCTCCCCTGAATGCTCTGTGGGGTTGATAGCAGAGTGGTTTTCTTCTTGGCCCACCTTATTTTCTGTCTGGCAGTGACCACTGACAGCTAAGAAGAAAAGGCCACCAGCACCAGGCAAGGGTCATTCCTCATGTCTGTGGGTAGCAGGGATATGTAAGAAGCAGCGTATTAAAACACCTGCTTTGTGCTGCTCTCCTCTGATGTGTCAGTCCTCCCTTCTGCCATCCAGAAGTGCCTGCTGGCCTCGTGCCGCGGGGGCAGCCGCTCTGCCCGACGCTGACTGTCATATCTGCAACCACAGACAGAGCTAAAGCTCGAGGAGCTGGCACTAGTGATCTCTCTCCCATGTAAGGAGCGCTTCAGGAGCAAAAGGTCATCTCTTCCTCCCGCAGCAGAGAGTGTTACGGCTGCTCTTCCAGTAGGGCTGGTTTTTGTGCCGAAAGCTCACAAGTCCTATTGCAACCTCTGGTCCCTTCAGGGCTCCTGGGTGAGGTTAGAGGAAAGCAGAGCTCTCTCTGAAGTGTCGTGACACCTCCTTGGCTTTGTTAAAATGAGTTTTCTTTCTCTTTTCAGTCGACTGAAGAAAGAAGGCGACAAACAGTTGTAATAAATTATTTATTTGTAATGCTGGCTATGGAAACCCCAGTCCTTGGGAAGGAGTGGAACATTTTTACATACAATAAGAGCTACAAAAGGAAAAGAATATCTTATAAAGATTTCTTTATATATTTAAAACAGAAACAACCACCCAACAAGTAGAGACTTATCAGCATAGTGTTCATTTGTAGAGAAGATTTCTCAAGACTGGTGTGGGTCTCCCTGCATGACAACGTATTCAGAAGCCTATTGAAAATACAGGACTGTGTGGAATATTCAGAGAACTTCCTGCAATCTTGGGTTTTTTTTCTTACTAGTTTGTTTTGAGTAGGTGCTAGAATCAGGTTCACAACACAAGTCACTGTGCGTGAAGAGACACTCAATGCATCTATAGCTATTTTAAAAAAAAAAACAAGGATTGCAAGTAGGTGACGTAACAAGCTCTGAATCCAAGTGCTATAATAATAAAAATCTACTTTTATTTTAATACATTGTAGGAAATCTTCATAATTTTAAAGAGAGCTCAGTTCTGCAGCATGGCTTTTTAAGTCTGTAAATAACTTTTTTGGGTAGAGGGGAGAAACAAAACAAAACAAAACTCCAGAAACGTTTATCTTGATTTTCAGTAACATCACAAATTGTGAATTCCTACCTGGTATTGACAGAATACAGAGTTGATTTTTTAATAAAAAATATATATATAATTATCCCTTTAATTAAAGGGAATGATGGGTATCAATAATTTCAAATGGGTAAAAGCTTGAAATTTGGTTTGCTTTCAACAATAAGCATTAAAGGGAGTTGCAGGGATAATGTTGCAAATGACTGTTTCTGTTCTTGGTTTTTTGGTTTGTTTGGGTTTGTTGGGTTTTTTTGTTAGTGTTACATCTCTCTGTTCTGCAGATGATTTCTGTTGAGTTGGGTTTCTCAGCAGTACAGGTGTCCCTTGGAACTAGCTTACCCTTTTGATGCCTACTTCAAGGGTTAATTTTCAGTGTGGCCATAATACGCTTCTTTCCTATTACCTTTTGAAACTTAATCGAACTACATTGGTTTTAGAATTTAGGCAAAAAGTTCAAAGAAATAATCTGTTCTAAAATATCTTTTTAAAAATTTTCCGTGGCTCAAACGAGTACAGCCAGAATTTTGTATGCATGTGCATATTTTTGGAGGACGTGCTCTTTTCTGGCCTCTTATGTTTGATATGTTCTTAAGAAAAGTGGATAGGCAACTCGGTGTTCTTAAAGTTGTTTTGCAAAGACTAGTCTGTATTTCTCTTTGACTGTTTTAGTTCTGTTTTTATAAGCAAAAACTTCTTAATCGCCACCAGTGTTCTGTATCTCAGGAACTTACTGCTTTGGGATTAACCGGATACATGGACAGTAACATTTACTGACTCCCAACACAACAGGTCCGTGCAGAATAACTCCTGTTGGCTAGTTCCCATGTGGATGGTAAAAGGAGAGGAATACACAGAAGGCCAGTGAGCATTCTTTTGGAGACAGCTCTGCTTACTGTCTAGGCAGAATTATTATTTTTTTTTCCGACTGTTTTGCCATGGGTTTTCTTTGCCAGAGCAGAGGGTGATGCAACCAATGGACATCTGAATCTGCTGGCTGTTTTTTTCTGCTGGTGCATAACTTCCCCCCCATTCTCTCTCTTAACTCACGAGTGCTCTCTCTCTGCTGTTGTAGACTGTTCAGTGTGATGGTTGTGTCATAGGACTGTACCGAGCCATGTTTGATAAACTTGTAGTTAATCATACATTCTGATGGAAGGCATGGCATGCACAGTGCTTTATCCACCTCTTGGGTCTCAAAGCAGTGTCAGCATTAGTGCCCAAAGATTACTGTTGGACAGTTAGTAACATCCATTTACCAATTAAAAATACACATTGGGGTATTCTAAGTCTGCTTAAGGCAAAAGCGTCTAGGAGAGAGAGGGGGACTAATTCCGCTAATGTTGATCTTCCTTTTTTTTGTGTCCTCCATTCCAGATTTCTCAGTGCTAAAGAGCTGCAATAGCGTTTAATCAGTTCCATCTGCTGTATTTGAACTCTCTGTGAAGGTATTAGGAGGAACAGCTAGTGTTTCTGAGAGTTGGAAACCATGAGGTCAAGCTAGAATCGAGGATGGTAAAGTCTTCTTCAGTCAATGCCTTCAGTCGCTGTCTGCAGTGATCAGGTGACATGGTTTTCTTCTGAGTAACATTTTTTTACTTCAGCTAACAGTGAGTAGCTGGTGAGACCGGTCTGCTCAGCAGAGAGAGTGCCTCAGTTTACTTTAAAGGTCTAATTAGGCATGTTTCAGTTAAAACTCTCCTCCTTGTTTTTACCATGTGGAATTTGGGAGTTTGGGGGAGTTCAGCCACTTCAGCTATTTTTTCTGATCCTTCTTTTTTGCTGTTACTTTTAGCTATAGTTCTTCTTAAGAAAGAAAACCACCTTATTGCCTCCAATGGTCCCCTCTCTGTATCTTTTTTTTTTCAGTTGAGGTTTGTAGTCTGTTCAAAAGCTATTCATTGATCTCTCTTTTTTTTTTTTTACATCATTCAGCAAATAAGCACTGAAATTCTTCCATTTTAGACCAATGATTAACTACAACTTTACATGCAGTGGTTTTTGAAGCCATCTTGGTGTTCGATGCCCTGTTAAAACAACCCAGACCGTTTGATTTTCTTTAAGAAATCTCTCTTACTTTTCCTCTGTTTCGAAAGATTATTTTTTAATTTTGCTTTAGTGTTTTTGAAACGTCTCTCTTGTTCTATGTCGTCATGGTTGAGCTTGTTTCACTGCACCGTTAAAGCAGAGTGTACATTCTGACTGCTACATTTATATATATCTTGAAGCTTAATGTATATATGAGTAGTTTGCCATGGGATAACACAGTGTAAACAGAGTAGAAACCCAGAAATCGTGACTTCTGTGTTCTCTCCATTTGAGTATTTTGTAATTTTTTTGAAATATTTGTGGACATAAATAAAACCAAGCTACACTACAGCAGCCAGGTTTTGCCTGCAAGCGAAATGTGTCTGTTGATTGTTGTTAGTGGGAAAAGAGTTCTTTTCATCTGGGATAACACAGGATGCCGGCATGGCCATCTTGTCTGTTTCAAAGCTGTCTTGTCTTTCTTGGCTTTATTTTTTCCTTCTCTGAGGTCATTTCTTTTTTAACATACAGCACACAAAACACCAACATCATGTCCAGTTCCAGAGTATATTCTGCCTCCCTGAAGCACATTTATGCTCTGGGGCCGTACTGCATAACTTAGGGATATTTTCCTGTAAGTTGAGCAGTCAGATGGGTAAGGATGAATGTGTAAGGATGTTTTGGCTGTTATGACTTCAGGGATTTTCTGTGTACGGTGGTAATATATTGTAGTCACTGATCTGCCAGAGCACAAACAAGTCGTTAAAATGAAGTGTGTACCAACGCTCTCATTGCATCAGGCAAAGAAGAGTAGAAAGACAAGTTCTCGACCAGAGAGGACAACTCAACCACAGAGTAGGAAAGAGAGCATGCCGTCATCTTCTAAATTTGTCTGTGAACTGAAGCGTTCAGAAGACATGCGAAGGAGAATGAGGCCTGATGACTCACGGTGTGTAAGCTTGAAATTAGATACAGTAGACTATATATATACCCCAGTAGCCGAGTTTTTAATGCTGCTTGTTTTCTAAGAGAGAATACTTTCTGCCAGTAAAATCATCTTGCACAACTGATACGGAGCTGGCGAGAGCTGCATTCCAAAAGGGTGATAATTACAGAGAGGAAGATGCACAATAACTATTTGCCTGTTCGTTGCCTGCTGAAAAGCTAAAATTTGCTTTCAAATTGCATCAAGTTACATGTTTGTGTACGTTTGTAATGGCTCCCTGCCTTCCATCTACCAGGGATTATAATGTGTTTGTGTGAGCTAGCTCTTACGAGCGTTCCATATTTACAGTTCATGGTAATCGGCGTCTCCAAAACGTAGGGAAACGTTACAATGCCACGGAGAGGCGGCGAGTATCTGCAGAATAAATCTTTGGTCGAAAAGGAGACGGGAAGGCTGCGTTCTTGATCTTGTTCTGCTTTGGTTTTCATCAATGATTCTTTGAAACTGGTGAAGTATTTTGACTCCAGTTCAAGCTAATTAGTGCTCCGAGCGCCGTGAGAAGAGGGTGCCCTGGTGTTTGAGTGTGCTTGAAGCAGAGGGAGGAGGATTCACGACAAATTGCTCGGGAGTTTGGAGCTGCCTGTTTGAAGAGGCTGCTCTATTTTTATACCCTGTGGCATTTTATAAGGGGAAGGTCAGTTCTCGGCTACTGGAAATAGCTTCTGAAAGTGCTTTTTCTGAGGCTGGCTTGAACTGAACATGTGCTATGGTATTTATTTTGACATTTGGGTTTTTTTTTTAAATTCCTTGCACTTAATGTAGAACTTGAATGGGCTTAGGCTGCCCTCCCTTTCTTGCTACAGGTTCTAAGTTCCTAGACTTAAAATGATGAACCCTACAGGGACAAGGCTGAGGAGGGTTTTTATTAGTCCATAAATTGAACAATATAGTCCCTATTGCAATAGTGGTGTGGTGTTCATGCTTTGTCATTGCAAGGGTAAAAACTGGAAAGCCGTCTATTGCGTGGCTTTGTTATATGTGTGTTACCAGACTTCATTTTAATGTCACGCCAGCTGTAAAAAGTTAAGAGTAGGCAGTAGAGTTTCAGTCCTTCCTAAGCCACGGATAGCTTTTTACAACTTATATTTGTTCAGGTACAAGGAGAAAAGGTAAAGCCTGGCGTTTCATTTGGGAATTGGGTTTTTCTGGTGTTTTGTGCAGGAATTTGATTTTTCTGGTTTTTTGAACGTGAAAAAAGGTAACTTTTACAGTGCTGCTTGTGAAATTCCCGACCTTTGCACACGCTCCCGGGGCTGGTGAGGCCCGTTCCCCTCAGGCCCCTCAGGCGCGTGCCGAGGGGCGGGGCCTGTGAGGAGCTGAGGGACGGGACGGGGCGGGGCGCACCCGACTGGGAAGGATCCAGAACCTTCTGGAAGCCGCCCCTCAGAGTGGACGGGTGAGAGCGTTTCCTCTGCTGTGAGGGGAAAAAGCGTGACGGAAAGGTGGTGGGACTGAGTTTTGGGGCACAGCTTCTTCTCTGAGAGCAGCCGTGCCTGTTTGCCTGCGGAAGGAAGCCCCACACCTTGAGGTAGATGGTGGCCCGGCCCCTCCTGGCTGTGTTCCTTGAGCCCAAAGGGAACCAGCTTCCCCTCTGCCCTTCCTGGTGGTGTCCCTTGGTCGCTAAAAGAGGTGGATCCCTCTGTGCTCCTCCCGGCAAATATCCTCTGGTCCCTGAGGTAGCCAAGTCCCAGGGCCTTGTGCTTTTTTGCTCGGTTGCCTCCATGTTGCTGCAGCAGGTGATTTTCCATATGTTCCTGACAGCTGCTCGCTCCTGTGTTTACAGTCCCGGATGTTTTTTCTTCTTTGTGACAGGTAAGCTTGAGAAAACCTTGCTGGTGTTTGTGTTGGGTCTTTTTCCACAGTAGTTTTTTACCCTGAGTGCGTCAGACTCAGTGTCTGATGTTGAAGGGAAGAACCTTGTGGGTGCCCTGTGTGTACAAATGATCTTTTGCAAAGTACTGTTCTGCTTTTTTCCTTTTTTTTTTTTTTTTT